CCCAGACTTTGGCCCTTAAACACAGGCCCCATTTAGAACAGACCTCTCTACAACCGCCAAGAAAACCCACACACACTTTTTGCCTGCGTGTCCACAAGTGTATTGTGTGTGTGTGTGTGTGTGTGTGTGTGTGTGTGTGTGTGTGTGTGTGAGTGTGGTCCTTGTCTGAAGCAGCCTGGGGTCAAAGGTTAACACAAGACCAGACAGTGAATGACATTCTTCTCTTTCTCTTTCTTTTCATTCATGTATTCAGCCCTTGTTCGTCCCAAAGCGATCTCTTTCCGACTGTATCGTCAAATGCAGAGCGCTCTTTAGAGAAAATGTTCCTTTAAACTTACGTTCACATATTTTATGCAAATCTCAGGATTTGTTTTGTCAAGATAAATAGTTTGTGGTGCTCAAACCTGTGGAGGTGCAATCGAACCTTAAAATACGATCATGTCTAATACGTGTAGAATTATATCATTCGTTTGATTACACATATGTCCAATCTCTCTACAGGTCGTGAAGATTCTGGAGAAACACGAGCCGGGTCGCAGCGGTGCAGGTGCGTTGAGTTTCCTCTCTGGTCATGTTAGCAGCACCAGCGGTTCCGGAGCGTTACGCCTCGGCCCCATCCCGGCTGATGAAGCCAGCGCCGTCCAGAACTATGTGGAACACATGCTCTTCCTGCTGATGGAGGAAGACGCAGGTCAAGGTTAGAGACCATTAAAAGAACCCAGCAGGCTTCACCGTGCCACAGCGTTGGATTTTACGTGGGTTGATGAGTTCAATGTCCTGATTTCAGGAGGAGCAATGGGTCCGATCCTGGAGTTTGTGGTTCTGGAGGGTGTGATGGAGAGGTTGTTTCTGTGGAGCCTGAGGAGGCAGTTTACTGAGGACATGAAGCTGGAGCAGCTCAGGATGTACCAGATGCTCCTGTCTCAGGCCAAACAGCCGCTGCTGCATCATAAACCTGTTCTCCGACCGCTCATGATGCTGCTGGCCTCGTGTGCTGGAGCTGGAACCGGTGAGTTCGCGGTGAAACACCGTAAGACGCTTTATGATCAGAGCCGTCACAGGCCAAAAGCCTTTCAATGTAAGCCTTTCATAAAGTGGAGGCTCTGCCATGTGAAAATCATTAAAGTGTCTTTAACACACCCGGCCTGAAAAGAGTTTTGAGTTTTTCTAATCTCAGACTCACCCTCGTGGATTTCTTTCACGTCGCTAATCTGTTTAAAGAACAACTGGAGATGGTTTAACTGTGTCCTGACATCTAATTGGTTGTAAGTGGTTCGTTAAGAAGTGGTTTCACGTGCTGCAGGTGGCGACGATAAGACCGTTAGTTAATCGCCCGTGTTCCCTCTGCAGACAGCGGCGGTGTGGTGGAGGCGGAGCTCGTCCTCCTGCTGAACCAGCTGTGTGTCGCTCTGGTCAAAGATCCCTCAGTGCTGGAGCTGTTCTTCCACACGAGTGAGGACCAGGGAGCCGCCAACTTCCTCCTGTTCTCCCTGCTCATACCATACACACACAGGTACATACACACACAGGTACATACACACACAGGTACATACACACATCAGATGGGTGATACACAAATGCATGGGTATACACAGGGGCATCACTATACACATCCCTGTTTACACAAATGCTCACAATGTTTATTAGCATATGTAAAAAAATTATCTCTGTATCTCAGACAGGGTTCAGTCGGTCAACAGGCCCGAGACGCTCTGCTGCTCATCATGTCTCTGTCGTCCTCTGAGCCTCGAGTCGCTCAGCACATCGGAGAGAACACATACTTCTGTCCTGTGAGTACACACACACACACACACACACACACAAACACACACACAGGATTGAGAGCGTGAACCTTGGAGCTTCATTCTAAAATACCTGAGGAGACGACACCTCCGCTCATCGTCTGTCCAGTTTCATGGTCGCCTCATGTCTGCGGCTGCGTCTGCTCGTCTTGGTGACATCATAGATTGAATAAGAATAAATCTGTAAAATAGTTTTAGAGATGTGTAAATAAATAAACAGATAAATACATAAAGTTAAAGTCTGTTAATCTCCACATTCATTCCAACTCGTGAGCTGAGAAATTAAAACTGAAAAAACTTTCATTTGTCTGTGAAGAAGTTTTTATGAATGAGATCTGAGTCGGGCAGCGGACGAGCTCATTCATCTCCACTCTGCTTTGTAACGTCATTAACACAGTTACGTAATGAACTAATGAGCTCATACTCTTCCTCAGGGACTGATGGAGTGAGAGAGTGTGACAGACAGAGAGAGAGAGGGAGGAGAAGAGAGACTGAGAGAGAGACAGATACGGTGGCAGGCGAAGGACAAAATAGACGAAGCGTCTCTACATTTCTCTGCAGAAATGAAGCTCAGATATCTCAGACACAAGCGCTACCATCTTGTACTTTTGACATTATACCCTCTGGACCAATCAGGAGTCAGAGTCAGCTGTCAATCATGAAGTTTCACCTCGTTTTAATATCCTCAAATAACTCATTAAAACCAAACTTATCAGAAACACTTCGAACTTTGAACAAACATCAGAGTGACACAAAAAATGTGGAGAAAAAAAATTACTACTTCAATAATCACAAAAAAATAATGACAAAAAATATCAGAAACAAAAAAAGCTCTTTTTGTTTACTTGCTTTTAAACTCCCTCTGTCGGCCATGTTGGCCTCGTCACTGCCGGTTTCTCTGTGTGTGTGTGTGTGTGTGTGTGTGTGTGTGTGTGTGTGTGAGTGTGAGTGTGAGTGTGTGAGAGACAGGGCGAGCTAAGACACGAGCATGTGCGGTGTGTGTGTGTTTGTGTGTGTCAGATTTAAACCCATGTGACCACACTCTGACCTCAATCTTTGTGCTGAGAGCAGATTAGTAAAGCAGCGTGAGATTGGCTGGTACACAGAGAGGGATTAGTAAGTCTGCACATGATTGGGCTGCTGCCTGATCGTTAACGAGACTTGAGACCACATCTGTTTGTCAAACCACATCTGCTGCTCTTTGTGTTGAAGTTCAGTGAAGTTGCTTTCTACCTGCGTCTCGTTCATATCTGACCACATTTTCTGCTTTAAATAAAAAAACACATTGATCCACTCTGGGATTTAATTTTCATAAAGACCTGTGTGTGTTCGTGTGTGTGTTTACAGCTCACCTGCAGGTCTGAGGGATTCACCTGTCTTTAAACGTGTGTGTGTGTG